TACGTGGCAGTTTACAGTGAAGATCTGTGGTTTGGTGCAGCCGCCTTCATCAGCGAGCTCGGCTGGATATTCTGGATGACTCGCTGCTCCACCTTGCGCCTTCATGTTATGGAGACATGTTCTTTCCTTAAACCTCATGAATCAACCTCTGCTAGCTTCTGCCTTTCCATCTGCAGCTTCCTCGCTCACCTCCCTCAGCCTTCACGGATTTGAAGAGTTAGAGCCCTGCTAACTCTAGGTTTTGGCTTACGGGGCTCTTACGGCGGGTTTGATCTTCTCTCCAGACCACTTAAACTTCCTCCATATCAGCAATAAGGCTGTTTTGCTTTCTCAGCATTTGTGTGTTTACTGATGTGGCACTTTTTATTTCCTTCAAGAACTTTTCATTTGCATTAACATCTTGGCTGTTTAGCGCCGCCAGGCCTAGCTTTCAGCCTATCTTGGCTTTGAACATCCCTTCCTTACTAAGCGTAATCATTTCTAGCTTTTATTCCAAGTGAGAGATGTGCGGATTTTTCCTTCACTTTAACCCTTAGAGGCTGTCGTGGAGTTACTAATAGGCCGAATTTCAGTATTGTTGTTAGGGAACAGGGAGGCTGGAGGAGAGGGAGAGACCGGGAAACGGAAAGGTCAGAACACAGCACTGATCAATTAAGTTCTCTGTCCTATACAGGCACAGGCCATGGTGCCCCCAAACGATTGCAGTAGACATCGACGAAGCTCACTGACCACCGGTCACCATAACAGATGTAATGATGAAAAAGTTTCAACTGTCACAGGAGTTACTAAAATGTGGCACAGACACACAAAGTGAGCACATGCTCTTGGAAAAACGGCACTGATAGGCTTGCCCGAGGCAGGGCTGCCCCAAACCTTCAATTTGTGAAAGAGATAGCACGTGTTAAGCGCAGTGAAACGAGTCATGCCTGTGCTGTTACAGCTCTACCTGGTTCTTTGCCCGCTGCTCACGAGGCAGGCGGCACACCGGGATCAGGGGCTACAGCAGGGACCCAGTTTAACGTCGCAGGCGCCATGTGAGGAGATGGGGAAGTTCTCAAACCTGTCTCCCCAGGGATTTGGGAGAAAGGGTTTTTAAAGATAGTCTGGTGGGCACGGCGCTGGGCAATTGGGTCTGCTCACAGGCTGGGTTCGGAACCATAGGGGTGTAGAAATTATTGTGCTGAGGCAGTTCCTGGGTCTGGGCCACTGGTCTGGGCGGGTCAGCTGCTCCCCGGAGTGCGGGGCCTGGAAGACATCTCCAACACTAGCCCTTGCTAGGTTTCGCGAGGCTGATGTCGTCCCTGGGAGCAATGAAGGAAGCTCAGGCTCTTTACGAGCATCCTCCGGGAGACCCCCGAGCAGGGAGCAACTGCAGGAAGGCAGGCGAGGGCGCCACGCTGCTTACGCCCGTGTTTCCCTAGCAGCGCTCCCACCTGGGGCTCTTGCTCATTTACAAAGCGCAGCTTCAGGAGCTCCAGGTAATCAGGAAAAGCAAGTGTTCTGGCTGCAGGGACCGAGCGAGTCGGAGCGCACGGCAGGTGATCTCCGGCTGCCTACAGCTAGGCGACCTGCCTGTCCCCCCGGTGGCAACGGGCATTTCCCGAGGGCCGGCGGGCGTCTGCGGCGGCGGAGGCGGAGACCGCGTCTCTCTCCCCTCCCCGGCGCTCGGGCCGGAGGGGCGGGGCCGGGCGGGGCGTCCCCTGCGGGAGCGGGCGGTGCAGCCCGGGGCGGGGATTCAGGAAGCGGCGTGCGGGCGTCCGGCCCGGCTGGCGGCGATGAGCTCGGCGCGGGCGCTGCGCGGGGCTCGCCGTGCAGGTAGTGGGGACGCGCGGGGGCCGCGGGCTTCTCGAGCGTTTGCGGGGCTCGCAGGGACGCGCTCAGGTCCAGCGGGGGCAGCCTCGCTCTTCGGTGCAGGGGACACCCCGGGACCTGGCCGCCGGGTGCTTGCGGCCCCGTGTGGCCGGGCGGGGCGCTGCGCCTTTGTCCCCGGGCCGCGGGCCCTTCCCGGCGTCCGGGCCGTTTACACTCGCGGAGGCGGCCCGGCCGGTCCTGGCGCCCCCTCCCCGGTCACATGCAAAGCTGGGCCTTGGGGGTCGCTCTCGTTTGCTAACTTCTAGGGGAGAAGTAAAACGAAGCGGCCGTTCCGAGTAACCATGAAAGCGTCACCAGCCCGCGGGTGCCCGGCCGAGTTGAGCCGAGGCCGGCGGGTTGGCCCCGGTATCGCGCCCGCGTCCCGGAACCTGCCGCTTCCTGTCGGTGCGAGTTCAAGTCGCAGTAACTTTTTTCTACGAAACAATGAACTGCGAAACGCGCCCTTTAGAACGCTCTCCTGTTGCTTAGCATTGCGTTACTGGTCAAGTTTGCAAACTTCGAGCCTGGCCAGGGTAGGAAAGCAGTTTGGAACGGGAGCAGTCGGGTGCAGAGCGCCTTGCTCCCGGGGTGTGTGTTCCCCGCCGTGCAAAGGAAGCCTCGCTGCAGGGGCGGGTTGCAGGACGCCGTGGTCGGGCCGGAGTGGCTTGTGGTGGACGGGGGTGCAGGGCCCTGCGGGAACCCCCAGCTCTGGAACAAGGGGTTGGGGTGGCAGCCCAGGGTGGCCGCTAGTCGCGCCTCCCTCCTTCCTTTTCCTGCGGTTCCTTTCCTGGTCTTCTCCCTTCCTTTTCTTTCTCCTTCCCACCCGCCTCCAGTGTATGATCCAGGCCGGACGGACTGGCGTTACTCAGTATAGGGTTTTTAAGCAAATTGCTGATAGAGAGCATAGGTAGATTTGTACAGGTCCTGCGGAGAATGCAGACGATGGCAGTAGAATGAGCCAAGACATCTGGGGAAATGAACACGTAGTATGGGAAGGTGGCAGGCCTGTCTCTGGCCGGAGGAGACTTTGGAGGAGACTTTGGAATCTGCGGGCGGACCCGGCTTTCAGTCTCAACCCCTGGCCCGGGGCAAGACCAGCCCACTCTCTCTCTCCGCTCCTGGGCTGTGGGGCTGCACAGGTGAGATAAGGTATCTAAAGGGCCAGGCCGTAAACAAATGGCAGCTGGTAGCATTATCTGGCGGGATTATGAAATTAGGGTAAGTGATTTGTTTTGTAAAAATTAAACTGATTTAAGGAACAGGAGGCGGCAGTCACATTATGGTGGAAAAGAGAAGTGAAAGGTCAATCAGATTGAATAAAGGACACATTTTTGATAATGTTCTATAGGGTATTTCCTTCACTAAGATTTATTTTCTCTGTGTCAACAAAGCCATTTGTGATTTTAGCCAGATTATGTTTTTGTATTCATGCAGTTTAGTGACACTTGTTAAGTGCACCCTTCTAGAAAGTTCTCCTGCTTGGCACATGCAACTCAAGGTGGCCGTGACAGTAGCCGTGATGTATTATTTTCTCTGAATCTGTGGGTAAAGTTTATCAATTCCAGAACAGTATTGGAACTTAGGTCCTGACATCTGTGCCCAAGGCTCTTTGTTCTGATTCAGCTTCTGCTAGAAAGGCAACAGAACCTGGTCATTCATTGGTACTGCAGGATGCAGGGCGAAGGTCAGAGTTGGCTGGGCTCAGACCCAGAGTTTCCACAGCCCAGTTTCTTTCTACATCCATAGCATTAATATTAACAAGAACAACAACAAAAATCTTTAAAAAGAATCCCTCACTAATATTGCCAAATCTGTTAGCTTTGAAATTTTTTTCTTTTAGGCACAGGGTCTTGCTATGCCGCCCAGGCTGGAGTGTAGTGGCTACTCACAGGCACGATCACAATGCACTGTGGCCTCGAACTCCCGGGCTGAAGCGATCCTCCTGCCTCAGCCTCCCAAGTAGCCAGGACTACAGGTGCACACCACTGCGCACAGCCTGCATGTAATTTTAAACAAAATTTCTTGAGCAGCTACTTGATACTAGCTAGCCATTCCTAAATCTGTAGGTCTTGACAGTGCTGAGGGCAATGTTTGAGACAACCCAAACTCACATCTTAAATGACATTGTCTAAGCAGAGTTGTAAAGCTCCCTCACTGAGAATATGAGAAATGAGAGCTTCAAGGACAATCAAGAATACACCTCCAGCAAGAGCAAGACCCCGTCTCTACTAAAACTAGAAAGAAATTAATTGGACAACTAAAAATATATAGAAAAAATTAGCCGGGCATGGTGGCGCATGCCTGTAGTCCCAGCTACTCGGGAGGCTGAGGCAGGAGGATTGCTTGAGCCCAGGAGTTTGAGGTTGCTGTGAGCTAGGCTGACACCACGGCACTCTAGCCCAGGCAAGAAAAAAAAAAAAAAAAAAGAATACACCTCCAGTGTTTTTAGCCTCGGGGACTTGAGTGAGTTTGGTGACCAGCCATTTGGCACAGCTTCCGTCAGATAGGCCGCGAGCCGCTGCAGCTCAGCAGTCGGTGCAGCCCGAAAGCGGCAGGAGGTGAGCTGCTGGGTCTGCTGCCACCCTCCACCGAGGAAGAGCCTGGGAGCCTTCCATGCTGCGCAGGATTCTTGGAGGACGCTCGGCGTTCTGGCATACACATTTAATTTGCTTGGTTTGAAGTAATTCTGTTTCTTTAAATAATCGGTTAAAGATAAGGAGGTGACGTCATCAAAAGGAGGCAGATCCTGGACAGGGTTTGAAAATGGAAGGCGTGGACTCCCTGTGCTGTCTGTGCGGGGCAGCGCTGGGTAGGACGCACCTGGTTACTGTGCTCACCTGGGGGTCGGACTACAGAGCCGTCTCCCCTGGGCTGCAGTAGGGAGGACCGGTTAGAGAGGCTGGTTTGGCTCTCAAACTTCAGTGCAAACATCACCCTGTCAAAAATACAGGTTGCCACTCCTTCCTCCAAGACCCTGACTGTCTCAGGATCCAGGAATCTGCATTTTAACACCCACACCAGAAATTCTGATGCACAGGGTTAAGGTGACTTAGGTCCTATGGGACAGGGAGATGCCTTAGTGGGGTCTTGGTTGGGTCTGACGGTTGGGTACATTCCAGGAGGAACAGGCTAATGCGACTGGCCAAGGGGGTCTTGAACTGAACCCCCCACCTCACCCTCACTCCCACTCCCAGGGTGTGTTTTCGTCAGGGAGAAGTGAGGTTGGAACAATCAGGTGATGGGGGACTGTACGGGGAGGGGAACACGACCCTCTCGGCTAGATGATGGGTTGGAGTCCCCAATTTAGGGTCATTCTTCTTCAACCCACGGGGGCATCTTGCTGCACTGTCAATATCTCTGTTTATTCATTATTTTCCCTCTCCCCTCTAAGCTGTTGAGTTTATCAGGTGAAAACAGATCCATGAGCGGAAGCGTCCTGGTTGTGGAAGACGCTAGGCGTGTTGCACCGTCCAGTATAGAACCCGCAGGCCCCGAGTGGCTACTTTCTACGTTAACTGAAAACAAGGACATTGAGCTCAGCTGCACTAGCTGCACATCGAGTGCTCAGTAGACACGTGGCCGGGGCGACGGGATGGACGGTGCAGAACAGAACGATTCCATCATCACGGGAAGTTCTGCTGCACAGCACTGCTCCGGGGCGTGGCGAGGGAGTCAGTGAGAGGCCGTCTGGGGAGGAGGGAAGTCTGATCACGAGGGGAGCAGAGGGTGATAAATGCAGGTGTGTCGTTCAGGAGATCATGCTCTGAGCCTTTGCCTTCCCTTGCTCCACCCAAACTTCTCTTCCGGGTCGCGGGGTAACCCCGCACTCGGCACCGGCTGTATTGCAGCTCTCCGGTGGGACGTGGGACTCTAGTCCTTCTCTGTTTCAGAAAATATTTGCAAAAGCAGTTTCCTCATTACCATTTTCTTGTTTCATTCAAGCTCTGTGATCACAGAACGATGCTACTGTAAGTGTATTTTGCGCTGAATGCATTTGTGTACCATTTTCTCCATTTCTGTTTATGAGATTATTTATTATTTTGCAGGTGAGAGTTGGGGGTGAGACAGCATCGAGCTTTAATTTACAGCTCATGTGTTTATTATTAATAGCAAGCAGTTTCCGTTCACTTCCCCTTATCCCATCTCTTTGAATACCTCGGCTGTTAAACTCACCAAGATAGGTGTGTCTCAGAGTTTGGGAGTCAGGAGGAGGGTGGGAGTTTCTGCTGGGTTTTACTACTGTTAAGTCAAAAAATAAATTAACAAAAGTCAACTTTTTTTTTTAATAGGTGGGGAGCAAAACATGACAGAAACAGATGCCTTCTATAAAAGGTAAAAATGTGCTCTTTTCTAAAAAAAAAGGTTTCTTCCTTGGGTGGTCATGGTCAGGCTGTGAAAATCAAAGCAAGAATGGGACCTGGGAGCTCGAAAGTAGAACTGCACAGGCCAAGGGTTAGCATTTGGGGACTGGTTTGTAGCTAGGTCGGTTCCTGCCTCTGTGTCAGGACCTGGAGCCACGGTCCGGATGATCGGTAGGGTCGATAATCGGCATGTTGAGCCTAGAGCCGGAGCTTGGCCCTGGGCCAGGCTGTTGTGCCCAGCTGCCGGATCCCGGGCCGCGGGGGAAGGACATCCAGGCCGAGGGTCGGGGTAGGGTGCTCAGGATGGCGCGTGGCCGCTGTTCAGATCAGTTGGCACAGAACTATTTCAGGACTTTTCTTTCCTGAGCATGGCCTTTCCCGGCGCACAGCAGAGGAGTCCCAGCCTGGCCGGGGAGGGGAAGGAGACCTCTGTCCACACTTTGCCCTGGGGCTTGGAGGAGCTTAGTGTTTAATATGACTTGAAGTGATTGTTTCTGAACTTTTCATTAACAGTGACATGTTTGATCCGGCCGAAGAGTACAAAATGGACCACAGGAGGAGAGGCATTGCTTTAATCTTCAATCACGAGAGGTTCTTTTGGCACTTAACGCTGCCGGAACGGCGGGGCACCAGCGCAGACAGAGACAACCTCACCCGCAGGTAGTTTTATTTACATGCCAAGATGAGACACTCAAGTGCTAACAATTATTTGTCACTGCTGAGATGACAGATCTGAGTACCTGAGGATGGGCCTGGCTTGGACCTGGCGTCCCTTAAGAACTTGCCCGGGTTCTCTTCCTTGCTCTGTTGTGTTCAGCGTTAACAGGCTGTGCGCGGTCTCTGACACACTTGCCTCGCACAGGGCAACATGCCAGACTGAATCGGCTCCCACGAGTAAATCCTCTCCCACCAGTGGGTGAAGCAAGGGAAAACCAGCGTTGTCATACTTAATTTTTTTTCCTCCTAAAGAAAATTTGTATGTCATAAAAATGTGTATAGATTCCTCAAAAGTCAGGGTATTTGACAACTTTGAAAAGCTGATAAGCTAACATTCCATTTACTATGTCACCAGGTTTTCAGACCTAGGATTTGAGGTGAGATGCTTTAATGATCTCAAAGCAGAAGAACTGCTGCTCAGAATTCATGAGGGTAGGTGGTTTTGCTGTTGTATAGTTCTTCCGCCTCTGATGGGATTCAGTCCTTTATCCTAGCTGTGAAAACAGCGTGGGATATAGGTTTTGGTTGGGCCTCTGTTTGTCTCACCCACCAGATTTGGAGACCCTTGCTAAGGTATCATGCCTCCAGGGTTTATGTTTAGCATTCCACTAGCTACAGTCTGTTACTCTAGAACCGAATGAAATGACCTGTTCATTTGGGGGCAGAAGGCTAAGATGCAAATGCTACAGGTGCCGGCAGTCGATAGGCCTGTTTTGTAATCGACTCTTCATACCCCATTTTCTCACTGGCTTCAAGACAGTGTTGATTCACTTTTACTATCTCCTTTAATTTGGACACCACCACTGTGCAGCAGGTATTCTAATTATAATACAACTTACAGTCATCACTGCATGCCATGGGTTTTCAAATCACTTGCCAATTAACTATTGTGATATTTGGATAATTATTCTAAACTTCGGAGCTCTTCCTTAAGCCATACGTCATTTTAACTGGCCGTTTACCAGATTTTCTACTTTAATCAAGCTTTGGAGGACATCAGTCTAATGTCTTCATAGTCTTTTGGAAGCTCCAAGTGCTGTAGACATAGACATACAGTGAGGGTGTCGCCTTCGTTGGAGGTGCAGCGAGGTGTGGGGGGTTGCTGAGTAGCAGTGTCTAGGTCTTTGCAGTCTGCTCTTAAGAAGGTCTCTGAATTCAAAGAAACTCTTATTGCCACAGTAGCTTGGATTTTATTTTCATTTTATTTTTTTGAGATGGGGTCTCGCTGTCACCCGGGCTGGAGTGCAGTGGTATGATCACAGCTCGCTGCAACCTTGAACTCCTGGACTCAAGCCATCCTCGTGGCTCAGCCTCCCATGTAGCCAGGACTACAGGTGTGCACCACCACACCTGGCTAATGTTTCTTATTTTTTCTAGAGACAGAGTCTTGCCATATTGCGAACTCCTGGCCTCCCAAAGTGCTAGGATTATAGGCATGAGCCACCACGCCTGGCCATAATTTGGGTTTTAAAGGAGGTTCCCCATCATAATTCCTTTGTTTTCTGCATCATTCAGTGTTTAAGAAAAGGAAATGAAATTTAATCAAACTGACTTTTCAATTTAATAAGTTTAGATTTTTAAAAGTCAGATACAGTATGATCTGATTAAAGATTAAATTATTTCATTACAGATATTTTACATTAAAGAACAAATTTTCTTCTTCCCCCAATCCTACGAATATAACAAGCATCTTATTTTCATTTCTATGTGGTCTTTTGGGGACTTTATAGTGTCAACTTCTAGCCACGTGGACGCCGACTGCTTTCTGTGTGTCTTCCTGAGCCACGGCGAAGGCAATCACATTTACGCCTACGACGCCAAAATTGAAATCCAGACATTAACTGGCTTGTTCAAAGGAGACAAGTGTCAGAGCCTGGTTGGAAAGCCCAAGATATTTATCATTCAGGTAAGACTGATTACATTATCATCTTACTTACAAAGTCCTTGGTTCTATACATGTGATGCTAAAGGTCTAAAAGCCAATTTCGAAAGTAACTAGAAAGGTACTTCTTGAATCCTGGCCAATAGAGTTGCACATTGAGCTATTAGTGATCGTTCTTTCTTGACGCTCAGTATCTTTATTACATAAAAACAGTGTTTGGATTGACATTTTAAGTGACTCACAAAATAACCAGTGTGCTACTCCCTGGCCGAGCTGGGTACCACAGGAGACAGCCGGATCAGACTGAGTTTGCTTTGGGAGCCGGAGGGAAGGCTGTGGGGACAGACTTCCAGCCCTGCCTGCCTCGGCCCTCAGGTTTCCCCCCTGCCAGCCCTGGCACGGAGAGGGTGGCCCGAAGAAAGAAGTTAAGGATGAGGGCCTGGCTTCCGGGTTGGAGGGCTGCACTGTGCCTGTGGGACACTAGAACCTAAGACAGGTGGCCTGGGCCGGAGAAATGCACGGGGAGTAGTGGAAGCCAGGGGAGCAGATGCGTTTATCCACGTCGGCTATAGCCTGAAAAACGAGTGTAAAACAAAACGGAGGGACCCCAGTGAGGAATGGGCTGAGGAGGAAAGATAGAGGGACAGGAGAAAAACTGGAAAAAAATAGTGAAAATAGTGACATGATTGTTCATGAAAAAGGGAGTGGCCAACACTGTCAAACAGGAAAGAATTGGAAATAGCTAATGAGCTGCCGTGGGAGGACAGCCACAGTGGAGGGAAGTGTTTTGCCAAATTATCTTTCTGTGCCTCGGATAGGGAAGTGTTTTGCCAAATTATCTTTCTGTGCCTCGGATTCTTTATCTGTGACGCGAGGGTAACAGCACCTGCCTCGGGGCCGAGGACAAAGCCACCTGGCCTAACAAACGAAACCACTTAGTGCCTGGCACGTGGCGAGAGCCCTCCTAAAGCCGCCTCTTCCAACTGCAGTTGGCCAGGCAGGTGCTGGCATCGAGTTACAGGTGTGTGTGTTGTATTTAGGAAAGACAGTGGGAAATGAGTTCTGAAAATAAGCCTGATAATACTGAGATTAAAATCTCCCTGTAAAAATGGGACATTAGGGATCCTCATTTATTTGATAACTTTGAAATCACTCAGGACTTTCTTTTGATGCTTCTAATTCTGTGATTAACCACTCAGAACTGATGCACTCGCAATGCCACGGCAGTATCTTGCTAGGCCACCGCATTAGTTTCTAGGGCTGCCACAGGCTGGGAGCTTAAACAGCAGAAATTCATTGTCTCGGTTCTGGAGGCTGGAAGTCTGAGACCAAGATGTCGGCAGGGTTGGTTTCTTCTGAGGTCGCTCCTGGGCTTATCGATGGCCGTCTGGTCCCTGTGCCTTCCTGTGGTCTCTCCTTCTGTTCGTGTCCGTGTCTTAATCTCTTCTTACAAGGACACCAGTCATACTGGGTTAGGGCCCGCTCCTGCCACCTCCTTCCATCTTAATCAGCTCTTTACAGGCCCTGTCTCCAAATACCGTCACATTGGAGGTACTGGGGCTAGAACTTCTGCATATGAATTTTGGGGGGACATAATTCAGCTTATAAACAGTCACTCGAGAGTATAATTGAATGTTAGCCTCTGAGTCAGAATCGGGGTAAGTATTTGAGACTTCACAGTGGGAGCAAGAGGAGGAAGGCATGGTAATGGGTGTCTGTTCTTAGGCCAGGTCATTTTGACTTAACAATGCACAGCAGCAGCCCGGCAACCGTCTGGAAATACAGAACCCGCTTAAATAGAAACACGTAGGTAAATATTATAGCTTTTAAAAGAGAAGGTGATTCTTGGTGCTATGAGTGTGGTTAATCCTTAAGAAATTTTAAACCACAAGCTTTTTCTTTCTCTGCATTATACCTTTCAACCAACATAATTTGGCATGTAGTTGGGAATGACAGTTTTTTAACATCAACTAAAAGAAAACGTAAGTAGGGAAACAACTTTGTCGGCTCTGGTCCCCACCACACCTGAATGTATTGCTTTTGAAACGCTTATGATGTGGCTTGTGTTGCCGTTGATACTGACGACGTACTGATGTACACGTCGCTGTACACAGTGAGCACCGGGAAGAAAACAGTGAGCAGATGAGGTGGTTTTTTTCCTCCCTGTTTTGCAGGCATGCCGGGGAAACCAGCATGACGTGCCCGTCCTTCCTTTGGATGAAGTGGATCATCAAACTGACAAGCTGGACACCAACGTAACGGAGGTGGACGCGGCCTCAGTTTACACGCTGCCTGCCGGAGCGGACTTCCTCATGTGTTACTCTGTCGCCGAAGGTGTGTTGGTGTTTGATACGAACCCGTAATTGGCTCTCTTGGCTAAGGTCCTGTAAGTTTCGCCTTTGATGAGTTCGGTCGGGTCTTTCTGTTGGGACGTGGCGATTCGATCCTGAGGCTCAGAGGCTCGGAAAGGATTTCTTTCATCACATGGTGCAGAGATAAATGAAAGTGTAAAATACCCTGCAGAGAATCACTCCTGAGTGCCGCACGGGATAAAGCGATCAGTCTAGTTATAGTAAATGTTAGCAGCCTGATGGTGGTAGTGCTATCGTGGTAATATTCATGGAAAGCTTTGTTGAAAAATATTTTGGTAATAGTTATTCTTTGCATGGTAAATAATTTTGTTTTACTTTCTAATAATCTTGTGTCTCTCAAAATCATTGACTACCATCTTGATAATTCTATATGATTTCCTACATTTCATAAAAAATTCCCAACATAAAAATTTTAAAGCCACATCATGGACACATCTTAGTCTTTTCTGGTGATTTTTGGGAGCTCACACTTCTGTAACTATGGATTATTAAGGTGTTTTTTAGTCACAGTAATTGAAAGCCAGAAAACTAGAGTAACGTTTTCTTCCCCACTGTTTTAGGCTATTATTCTCACCGGGAAACGGTGATGGGTTCGTGGTACATCCAAGATCTGTGTGAGATGTTGGCGAAATACGGCTCCTCCTTGGAGTTCACAGAGCTGCTCACGCTGGTGAACAGGAAAGTGTCGCGGCGCCGAGTGGACTTCTGCAAGGACCCAAGCGCAATTGGAAAGAAGCAGGTTCCCTGCTTTGCCTCGATGCTAACTAAAAAGCTGCATTTCTTTCCAAAATCTAAGTAAGAGGCTATTTTTATCTTAAAATCTACATTCGAAATATCTTTTTCCCTTTTTTATATAAATAAGGATCACTAGGTTGAAGCACATGGTACAGCAATTTAAAATATTTTTAGGCTTAATGCCCAGCAGAGAATTGCCTTCTTTTCCACTTAATAGTTCATGTTGGACATGGTGAAAGGGTTGCCTTTTTTCCCACTCAATAGTTCATGTTGGACATGGTGAAAGGGTTTGATATGTAGAAACATAATCCTCAGAAAATTACTAAAAAAATCAAATATTACAAAAGCTTGTAGATTTTTATAGTAAACTGCAAGGTTATACAAAATGTCTGGCTGATTTAACTTGTATTTTATTACTTTTTTATAAAAGTTTATTGTATAATGGGGTTTTTAAACTTTTTTTTTAAGGCTGGCCAATATGTTTTTAAAGGTTTTTGAAACCCAACAATTAGGTCGTTATCCTTTAATAAAATACTTGAAATTCATGTTTTATTAAATTTTTCTAATTTACATTCTTACTTGTGTAATATTAAAACAGTAATTCTTAGCTACTATTGGCTAAACACCTGCAAAATCTAATTCTCTGCCAGCATCTTCCATGTTAAGTTCCTACACTATCCAATAGTCATCAGACCCATCCACAAATTGTCAC